CAGAACTAGAACAGAACTAGAACAGAACTAGAAAGAACTAGAACAGAACTAGAAACTAGAACAGAACTAGAACCGAACTAGACAGAATAGAACAGAACTAAGAACAGATCTAGACAGAACTAGAACAGAACAAGAACAGAACTAGAACAGAACTAGAACAGAACTAGAACAGAACTAGAACAGAACTAGAACAGAACTAGAACAGAACTAGAACAGAACTAGAACAGAACTAGAACAGAACTAGAACAGAACTAGAACAGACTAGAACAAAACTAGAACAGAACTAGAATAGAACTAGAACATAACTTGAACAGAACTAAATCTGAACTAGAACTGGATTGGATTAAAACTGAGACAGAATTACAAACTGACAAATAAGTTTATTATAAGTTATTTATAGCTAATAATTGCTCTTAACTAAATGGTAGCTTATTTAATTGTTATTTCACTAAGTTTCTTGCATTTATCGGGTTATTGAACTTAATATAAAACAAAACGCTCTATCAGACCGTTGTTTACCCATTTGAATACTATAGCTGCCCTTACCATTAAAAAAACCATTTAACTTTGTTTAATAAAAATAACACTACTATTAACCATAAACATTATAAACTTAACCCTTTTATGGAAAAAAAGTAATTAATAGCAAAAAACAATAGTTAAACAAGTTTAATAACAAATTTAACAAACCAAACAATTGTACTTTGATTTATACATTTAAAAAGAATACTCATAGTACATAATAATATTAAAACTTTAAACTCTATTTATAACATTTAAAAAAAGTTAAAAAAATATGATAAATTTTCTTATTTATATTATTAAAGAATTTGATAAGAGAACTAAAATTAAAAACCAATACATCAAAGCGATTAGTTAACCGATAGAAAATTTAAATTAATCATTAAATTTATATACTTTATTGGTCTTTAAATATATATTTATAAACATATAAGTTTTATTTTTAAATAAAGTTATTTTTTGATTATTAAGAAGTTTCTGGAAAACCTTCGCTGCAATTTGAACCGATTTTTTGTTGTGGGAAAGTTAGTTATTTTAGTTTTAATTTATTGATAAGATTAACCAATTTAAACTTATCAATGGTTATAGTTTATAATCCATTGGTTGCTGAGATTTGGAAAATTTATGAACTTAATATGGTACGAGTTAGTTTAGTCAAGGTAACTAACTTACTGCTGAGTCACTTGATTTTAAACTGATATTTTGTGAAAACAATCTATGGACTCTAGAGACAGATTTATATCAATTTTAAATGTAGAGCTCTTAGCAACAATGTTGAACTAAAACTTAAACTAACAGCTGATTCACTACTTGATCTTCAGCTGAACATAAATCTCACAATAAACTAGTATTTTGAAAATGTGAACTGTGAATGGGGAACCAAACTGTCAGAAAACAACTCTGTTTTTTTCATCTTTCGCTACTCTCTACTTAATTTCACACCCCTTTTACGGTATACTTTATACTTTCAAATTCTATTTATAATTCCCCAAGTGTTTGACGTAGTAGCTAGTCACACTACTTTACTCGAGCACGTTGTCAAAGTTATTGTGTGTTTTTTTTTTTTTTGCTCACTTTTCTTTCAATCTCTCCATTATTTGTTTCGATTTACGAATGAAACGATAAAACAAAAATAATAAAATAAATATTCTCTCTCATACAAATAGTGCTAAAACGCATAACGCTCCATAAAAAAAAATATTTTATCTAAACTCATTTAACTACAAATATTTGAACAAAACTGACAACAGCCCAAAACACTTTAATATCTAGTGATGACAGCCAAAAGAGCGTACATAACATACAAATCGTACGAGTCTTAAATATCAACAAATCAAAAAATACATCATCACACTTTTTTCGGTCAATTTCCAAATAAAACTCAAGAAACTAACAAATAATCTAAACACATAAAAATACTTAATATCATAATTATCATAGGAAATCATCTAGAAGAGAACCCTACTTTAGGTACTTGCGTACTAGGATTTTTTCATAATTTTTAAAAGAGAATTTTGCTGAAATTTTAAAAATTTTGGGAGAATGATAATTTTCAATTTTCATTGATAAATCTGTAGGCCAACGAGGGTAAAAATAGAAATGTTTGCCAAAAATTTTGAGGTCAATAAACATGTGGATTTTATTAATTATTACAAATTTGACAAAAAAGAACTGAAGAACTGAACTAGAACTGAAGTAGAACTGAACTAGAACTGAACTAGAACTGAACTAGAACTGAACTAGAACTGAACTAGAACTGAACTAGAACTGAACTAGAACTGAACTAGACCTGAACTAGAACTGAACTAGAACTGAACTAGAACAGAACTAGAACAGAACTAGAACAGAACTAGAACAGAACTAGAACAGAACTAGAACAGAACTAGAACATAACTAGAACATAACTAGAACAGAACTAGAACAGAACTAGAACAGAACTAGAACAGAACTAGAACAGAACTAGAACAGAACTAGAACAGAACTAGAACAGAACTAGAACAGAACTAGAACAGAACTAGGACAGAACTAGAACAGAAATAGAACAGAATAGAACAGAACTAGAACAGAACTAGAACAGAACTAGAACAGAACTAGAACAGAACTAGAACAGAACTAGAAAACTAGAAACTAGAACAGAACTAGAACAGAACTAGAACAGAACTAGAACAGAACTAGAACAGAACAGGAACAGAACTAGAACAGAACTAGAACAGAACTAGAACAGAACTAGAACAGAACTAGAACGGAACTAGAACAGAACTAGAATAGAACTAGAACAGAACTAGAACATATCTAGAACAGAACTAAAACAGAACTAGAAAAGAACTAGAAAAGAACTAGAACAGAACTAAAACAGAACTAAAACAGAACTAGAACAGAACTAGAACAGAACTAGAACAGAACTAGAACAGAACTAGAACAGAACTAGAACAGAACTAGAACAGAACTAGAACAGAACTAGAACTAGAACAGAACTAGAACAGAACTAGAACAGAACTAGAACAGAACTAGAACAGAACTAGAACAGAACTAGAACAGAACTAGAACAGAACTAGAACAGAACTAGAACTGAACTTGAACAGAACTGGAACTAGAACTGAACTTGAACAGAACTAGAACAGAACTAGAACTGTATTAAAACTGTACTAGAATAGAACAGAACTAGAATAGAACTAGAACAGAACTAGAACAGAACTAGAACAGAACTAGAACAGAACTAGAACAGAACTAGAACAGAACTAGAACAGAACTAGAACAGAACTAGAACAGAACTAGAACAGAACTAGAACAGAACTAGAACAGAACTAGAACAGAACTAGAACAGAACTAGAACAAAACTGAAACAGAACTAGAACAGAACAGAACTAGAACAGAACAGAACAGAACTAGAACAGAACTAGAACAGAACTAGAACCGAACTAGAACCGAACTAGAACTGAACTAGAACTGAACTAGAACTGAACTAGAACTGAACTAGAACTGAACTAGAACTGAACTAGAACTGAACTAGAACAGAACTAGAACAGAACTAGAACAGAAATAGAATAGAAATAGAACAGAACTAGAACAGAACTAGAACAGAACTAGAACAGAACTAGAACTAGAACTGAACTAGAACAGAACTAGAACTGAACTAGAACTGAACTAGAACTGAACTAGAACTGAACTAGAACTGAACTAGAACTGAACTAGAACAGAACGAGAACTGATTTAAAACTTGACTAGAACAAGAACTAAACTCGAACTTCTATTTTTTAGTTTCTTGATGGCTCTTTGTAGAAAGGTTATGTAGCTCACTTTCGAGTCGTTGTATAGATTTATTTAGTTATGTTTTATTATTCTGCGAAATTTAATTCAAGTCATTCAGTACTGAGGAAATATTTGGCATGTTGTTTTTTGTAGAACTTTAATCACTTAACTTAATCTCTAGCAATATTGTTTTGCAATTAATAAAAAATTCTAGTTTTTAAAATAAAATTCAAATTAAATTTTCTATGTGAGTATAAAGAGATATAAAAGTGGATGTGTGCTTTAGGGATTATAAAGTTAGTGTACAAAAGTTAAGTTAAAATAGCAGCTGATGCCAACTTATATGAACAGATTGAAAATGATCAATATCTAATGTTTGCAAGATAGTTGCAGCAGTGAATGAATGGTCTCTAACTAAAAATAAACTTCATACACATAAACTCAAATATCATCTAATCTTTGTGGGTATATCCTTGACTATAGTTTAGTCTATGGTAACCTAACGACTTATGCTTCTAAAACTCATGCTGATACGAAGACAACCATATTATGATCCTTATCCCCGCAAGGGCAAAGTTCGTGTACTTAGCAGGAATTTGCAATAATATCAACTGACATTTTTAGTAGCGCTTTAAGCAGTTTAAAGTACAAGTGATTTGAGAAAAGTTGTAACCACTTTTTGCCCAAAAGAAAAAACATCACATGGAAATTTTCCTTTTATGATCAATTGATCTTTTCACTAGTTGCCTCAAAAACATAAAAAAACACCAAAGACACAGCAAAAATTTCCAACCTGTTATGTTTCTTAAACGTTTAACTAAACGATCACTAAACCCAGTTAACCAAAACAACAACAACAATTTTCTGTTTAATCCACATTGTTTTTTCCATACACTTATTATAAAACACTGTGCAAAGTTCATTGGTATTAACATTGTACCGGTGTAGATAAAAATTGTAACTGACTATGTATTTTTTTCCAGTTAATTAAAAATGCTTAACTTTCGCATTAATTTAAAAAAAAACAGTTAATTAAAATATAATTATAAAAAAAACAAATAATTATTATTAACGTTTTAAAATTTTTGCATTAATTATTTTAGCAAAACACATCATATGGTGAAAATCTCCAAACTATTTTTTACAAATTAAAGATTTTGTAATATTTAAGATTGAACTTAAATATTCGAGTTCATCGCACTATTTTTTCAGCATTTTCCAATTATTACCTTTTTTACGAAAGGAAAAAAAATATGTTACACAAACACACAGTTAAAATTTGAAGAACGGTTCTTCAAATCTTCTTTTCTTTAGAAATTCAAATAAAAATTAAACGACCCGCGTTTTGTTATTTTCTTCTTTAAACTGAATAGTTTTTGTTGTAAACAAACCCACTACTATATACGAGATCGATCGAACACGTTCAATACGCCTCAAAGCCAATGAAAAGACTGACACTTTAAACAGGTCAGTGGTTGAACAAAACTACTTCAACGAACGAGGATCGTGCTGTTGATAATAATGACAACAACAATATAAACAGCAACAGAGTAACAAACGAAATATGTTTGAAATACGAAAATAATAATATTAATAACAACAACACTACTACCACAAAATACAATAATAACAAAAATCGTAAGAGTATTTATTTTTTACAGCTAGAATCATAAACAACAACTACCCTCGATAAGTACCTTTAGTTTGTTCTTGTTGTTCCTAAATCACTGAGCGACTGAGTACAGGCAGACATAGAGGTAAAAATATATATTACAGAGAATTTTGTCACTAGGTGAGTGGTTTTTTCGGTCTCTCTGTTTGAATGGCTCCCTGTAGTTGGGCATAAAACAGAGATGGATAAATTTATTCAGTTCTAGTTCATTTCTAGTTCAGTTATAATGTAGTTCTAGTTCATTTCTAGTTTTATTCTAGTTCTGTTCTAGTTCTGTTCTAATTCTGTTCTAGTTCTGTTCTAGTTCTGTTCTAGTTCTAGTTCTGTTCTAGTTCTGTTCTAGTTCTGTTCTAGTTCTGTTCTAGTTCTGTTCTAGTTCTGTTCTAGTTATGTTCTAGTTCTGTTCTAGTTCTGTTCTAGTTCTAGTTCTGTTGTTCTGTTTCAGTTCTGTTCTAGTTATGTTCTGTTCTGGTTATGTTCTAATTCCGTTCTAGTTCTGTTCTAGTTCTGTTCTAGTTCTGTTGTTCTGTTCTAGTTTTGTTGTTCTGTTTCAGTTCTGTTCTGGTTATGTTCTAATTCCGTTCTAGTTCTGTTCTAGTTCTGTTCTAGTTCTGTTCTAGTTCTGTTGGAGTTCTGTTCTAGTTCTGTTGTTCTGTTTCAGTTCTGTTCTAGTTATGTTCTGTTCTGGTTATGTTCTGTTCTGGTTATGTTCTAGTTCCGTTCTAGTTCTGATCTAGTTCTGTTCTAGTTCTGTTCTAGTTCTGTTCTAGTTCTGTTCTAGTTCTGTTCTAGTTCTGTTCTAGTTCTGTTCTAGTTCTGTTCTAGTTCTGTTCTAGTTCTGTTCTAGTTCTGTTCTAGTTCTGTTCTAGTTCTGTTCTAGTTCTGTTCTAGTTCTGTTCTAGTTCTGTTCTAGTTCTGTTCTAGTTCTGTTCTAGTTCTGTTCTAGTTCTGTTCTATTGTCTAGTTCTGTTCTAGTTCTGTTCTAGTTCTGTTCTAGTTCTGTTCTAGTTCTGTTCTAGTTCTGTTCTAGTTCTGTTCTAGTTCTGTTCTAGTTCTGTTCTAGTTCTGTTCTAGTTCTGTTCTAGTTCTGTTCTAGTTCTGTTCTAGTTCTGTTCTAGTTCTGTTCTAGTTCTGTTCTAGTTCTGTTCTAGTTCTGTTCTAGTTCTGTTCTAGTTCTGTTCTAGTTCTGTTCTAGTTCTGTTCTAGTTCTGTTCTAGTTCTGTTCTAGTTTCTTCTAGTTCTGTTCTATTCTGTTCTAGTTCTGTTCTAGTTCTGTTCTAGTTCTGTTCTAGTTCTGTTCTAGTTCTGTTCTAGTTCTGTTCTAGTTCTGTTGTTCTAGTTCTGTTCTAATTCTGTTCTAGTTCTGTTCTAGTTCTGTTCTAGTTCTGTTCTGTTCTAGTTCTGTTCTAGTTCTGTTCTAGTTCCGTTCTAGTTCTGTTCTAGTTCTGTTCTATTCTGTTCTAGTTCTGTTCTATTTCTGTTCTAGTTCTGTTCCAATTGTTTCAGTTCTGTTCTAGTTCTGTTTCAGTTCTGTTCTAGTTCTGTTCTAGTTCTGTTCTAGTTCTGTTTCAGTTCTGTTCTAGTTCTGTTCTAGTTCTGTTCTAGTTCTGTTCTAGTTCTGTTCTAGTTCTGTTCTAGTTCTGTTCTAGTTCTGTTCTAGTCTGTTTTAGTTCTGTTCTAGTTCTGTTCTAATTCTGTTCTAATTCTGTTCTAGTTCTGTTCTAGTTCTGTTCTAGTTCTGTTCTAGTTCTGTTCTAGTTCTGTTCTAGTTCTGTTCTAGTTCTGTTCTAGTTCTGTTCTGTTCTAGTTCTGTTCTAGTTCTGTTCTAGTTCTGTTCTAGTTCTGTTCTAGTTCTGTTCTAGTTCTAGTTCTGTTCTAGTTCTGTTCTAGTTCTGTTCTAGTTCTGTTCTAGTTCTGTTCTAGTTCTGTTCTAGTTCTGTTCTAGTTCTGTTCTGTTCTAGTTCTGTTCTAGTTCTGTTCTAGTAAAGAAGAATCTCTCGTTTCCCATCTCTGCAAAGATATATTTTTATTTTTCCTTAAACCTTATCAAACCATACGTTTTATTTTCGGACTTTTTTTATTATTTGTTTGAGTTTGTTTTTATTATTGTATTTTTTAATAAAATTAAGAAACGCACACAAAATCGTATGATAACAGTTCATCTCTCTGTGTACTCAACTGTATTAAAAATAATATTTTTATTTAAAAAATTTTAAAATGCATGTTTTTTAATTCGTTAATTGAAAATTCATAAAAATTTTGCTGGCGTAGTTTATTGGTTTTAAAGTGGTACACAAGTACCCACTGATAAGACAGATGTCAGCCGGTACAAATGTTATAGGGATCTCATCTGATTTGATTTTAATTGGAAGAATTTTTTGTTTTTGTTTAATTAGAGCGCCTGGTCTAGACTATTTTGTAAGTGCATTAAATATTTAAATTTTGTTGTGCAAACAAAAACAAATTTGATTATTAAATTCAATTCCATAATCGTAATAATTTAAACAATAATACTAAAGTGAATCTAAGAATAAAATGAAAACATTATTAGCTTGAAAAACATCTTTCTAATTTTCCACTTTCACTCTATCTCCAAAACTAGGTACCTCTCGCTTCTCTCTCTTTCGCCCACTATTTCAAATACAATTTCTATTCATACAAGTAGTTGGTATATAAAATTATTATCTAATGATAAAGTCCAGCATTAGATTATTAGTTTATATTACTTTCATTTGATTGTTAATGCCAATATACACGATTATTTAACTGATAAGACTTGGGGAGCTGTTGTTTTAAAACGCTTCTTTTCCACATTTTTTATTAAACGGTCATAATTTTAGAAAATAACACTCAATAACTATAAAAATTTAAAATTTTTTTATATTCCAACCGTTCAAAAAAAGAACAATAAAAATCGGCACTTCTAACTTTGATCCTTAGAAGTGCACACTTTATTTTATAAGTTGGGAAAAATTTAAGGTCAATAAAATTTTAAATATTTTAAGGTATTGTTAAAAATGCTATGTTTTAAACGGTGACCGGAAATGTACTTGGACTTTGATTTTTTGACTGAAAATTATCTAATATTTGTATTGGTTTATCATTAAATAAAATTGATAATATGTATAGCATTTTCAGTGCTTTAATTAATATTATTAAATGAACCAAATCAAACTTTTGATATATCAACATGACGTAGAAAATTTAATTAAATTATAAAAAAGGAAAAACCTCTTGAACTGAGGTTAACAAAACTCTGCAAATAGTCCAAATATTTCATAATTGTTTAAAATTTAAACATTGTGCAAGTTTTAGTTCTGTTTTAGATCTGTTCTGGTTCTGTTCTAGTTCTGTTCTAGTTCTGTTCTAGTTTTGTTCTAGTTCTGTTCTAGTTCTGTTCTAGTTCTGTTCTAATTCTGTTCTAATTCTGTTCTAGTTCTGTTCTAGTTCTGTTCTAGTTCTGTTCTAGTTCTGTTCTAGTTCTGTTCTAGTTCTGTTCTAGTTCTGTTCTAGTTCTGTTTTAGTTCAGTTCTAGTTTAGTTTTAGTTAAGTTTTAGTTAAATTCTAGTTCAGTTGAGGTTCAGTTCTAGTTTAGTTCTAGTTCAGTTCTAGTTCAGTTCTAGTTCAGTTCTAGTTCAGTTCTAGTTCAGTTCTAGTTCAGTTCTAGTTCAGTTCTAGTTCAGTTCTAGTTCAGTTCTAGTTCAGTTCTAGTTCAGTTCTAGTTCAGTTCTAGTTCAGTTCAGTTCAGTTCTAGTTCAGTTCTAGTTCAGTTCTAGTTCAGTTCTAGTTCAGTTCTAGTTCAGTTCTAGTTCAGTTCTAGTTCAGTTCTAGTTCAGTTCTAGTTCAGTTCTAGTTCAGTTCTAGTTCAGTTCTAGTTCAGTTCTAGTTCAGTTCTAGTTCAGTTCTAGTTCAGTTCTAGTTCAGTTCTAGTTCAGTTCTAGTTCAGTTCTAGTTCAGTTCTAGTTCAGTTCTAGTTCAGTTCTAGTTCAGTTCTAGTTCAGTTCTAGTTCAGTTCTAGTTCAGTTCTAGTTCAGTTCTAGTTCAGTTCTAGTTCAGTTCTAGTTCAGTTCTAGTTCAGTTCTAGTTCAGTTCTAGTTCAGTTCTAGTTCAGTTCTAGTTCAGTTCTAGTTCAGTTCTAGTTCAGTTCTAGTGCAGTTCTAGTTCAGTTCTAGTTCAGTTCTAGTTCAGTTCTAGTTCAGTTCTAGTTCAGTTCTAGTTCAGTTCTAGTTCAGTTCTAGTTCAGTTCTAGTTCAGTTCTAGTTCAGTTCTAGTTCAGTTCTAGTTCAGTTCTAGTTCAGTTCTAGTTCAGTTCTAGTTCAGTTCTAGTTCAGTTCTAGTTCAGTTCTAGTTCAGTTCTAGTTCAGTTCTAGTTCAGTTCTAGTTCAGTTCTAGTTCAGTTCTAGTTCAGTTCTAGTTCAGTTCTAGTTCAGTTCTAGTTCAGTTCTAGTTCAGTTCTAGTTCAGTTCTAGTTCAGTTCTAGTTCAGTTCTGGTTCAGTTCTAGTTCAGTTCTAGTTCTGTTCTAGTTCAGTACTAGTTCAGTTCTAGTTCAGTTCTAGTTCAGTTCTAGTTCAGTTCTAGTTCAGTTCTAGTTCTGTTCTAGTTCTGTTCTAGTTCAGTTCTAGCTCTGTTCTAGTTCTGTTCTAGTTCTGTTCTAGTTCTGTTCTAGTTCTGTTCTAGTTCTGTTCTAGTTCTGTTCTAGTTCTGTTCTAGTTCTGTTCTAGTTCTGTTCTAGTTCTGTTCTAGTTCTGTTCTAGTTCAGTTCTAGTTCAGTTCTAGTTCTGTTCTAGTTCTGTTCTAGTTCTGTTCTAGTTCTGTTCTAGT